ACTTACGACTGTTGCAGCATCTCCACAGTCATGAGAGGCCTGGCGAGGAGATGCGTCCCTCGATGTGAGTGATGTTGAGTTGGCCACGCCCAGCCAGGCACATGACCACCAAGTCATGCCCACCAACTAAGACATGCCCACAGAACCAGTTGTTTAAAAAATTGAATCCCACCCCTGCTTGTGACCATAGTTTTGGCAAGGATTTGGTCCTGAAAGATTTTTCAAAGATTATGCTTAGAGGTTCAGCTATGGCAGTGGATAGCTTTTTAAAGAAGTAGGTACAAATTCCGTCCAGTCCAATAGATAGGGATGGTTTTGGATACATCATGGTCATAAGTCCTGATCTGTTTTATGATGGTCATATGACCATGGGACTGTGCAATTACTGTAAATATAGCTGTATTGCTAACCCCTTAAACTTCATTCATATGACTATGGGATGGGGAACTTGACTGTTGGAACTTTGAATCTAGGTCATAAGTAGCCCCAAAGTAGATTTGTTGTAATTTTGCTAAGTGACCAGTCATAAGTCAAGGATTACCCGTATGCTTCTTTGTACTGTCAGCTACAGGCCTAGTCTCTCCAATTCTGCACCAAAGAGGCAACTCAGACACTTCAACCCATTAACCAAGATAATAAAAATAAAAGATTGATAATATAAAGTCCTCTTCAAGTTGATGTCTTGACATCAAAATGGCTGCTCTTGTTCTGTTACGTTCTTTTGGATTTCTGAGATTTTTTTGGTCTTCCATCGAGGTGGTAACTAGATTTGGCCCTGCTTATCTTCCTAGGTACTATCACCTGTTTGTCAGCTGATTATTATCCCAAACTTACATTGAAAAGTGCAATAAAAATTATCAGATCTTATTTTGGACTGATAGTTTAACTTTTTCTTTTATTGTTAATATGTTTATGGAATTAGTGATGTATATGAACAGAAAAGTGAGAGTCCCAGCTCAGTGAATCAAGACTTCCAGTGTTCAAAATGAAGCCGTATTTCCATAAATGAATATACATAGGGCACTAATAAGTATGCATATTGTTGTTTGTCAGAGCTTTAAAGTGGGTTTTGCATTAACTTTAAATATGTCTATGAAATATTCATTACAATGTTCTGTTCTGCTTGATTATATTTCCAGATCATTTAAACGATGCTTTGCCATCTCCATTCTCAGTTTTAGAATGGAATAATTTTAATACTCCTATTAATAGCAGACAGCTGTGGGGTTGTTTTAAACTGTAAGATTTTTTTTAATTTGTAAGGTATATTTTATGTTTGGGTTTGTGAGTTTTTTTCTTACAGTATTTTTTTTTGGTGAAAAAATAATAATCAAGTGTTAAAATAAATGTGTTAGGCTGAAAAGAAGAATTTTTCTTACTTTTATACTGTATACTTTTGTATACTTTTATACTTGTATACTTTTATACTACTAGAACAGTTAAATCACTGTAGTTCCAAAGTATGAAATCTGAAAAAACACTCTTACATGTTAGATTAATTTACTATATTTCCCAACACAGATTCCTCAATTTTTTAAATGTTTAATCCAAGCATACATATTATTTCCATTCAGAATTAAATTTTATAAAGCATCAGTGTTGTAAATAAAAGGCACATGGAAGGAAAGGTTTTTTGAGAAGCATTTATTACTAGAACTAATACAAAAAAATCTGAAGAAGTATTATATGAGAAGAATTGAACTGGGGAAAAATACTTTGTTAATCTAAAATATTTTATCCATGTTTTGACTACCTAGCAGATACTGTGGTTAACAGTAAAACAGTATTCATCCCAAAGAGACTGTCTGTATCAGTCAATCAATCAATTAATCAATAATCAATCCTCAGTAAAAATAACTTAAATAAAACTAGTACGAAACAAAGTCTAGTAACAAGGAAGGCAAAAGTCAGTCTGAGAACTGAAAATCACATGAATCTTATTGCACAAAATGGAAGTAGTTTAAAGGTTTGCTTCGGAATGGACACTAACTGGGTTTCAAAGAGTGGAGTAGTAATCAATTTGGATGGGTGGGGTCTTGTAATTTTCCTTACTGTTCATCTGGATTCGTGCAGAATCTGGCTGTGCCAAATTATTTTGGGCTTTAGGGTCCATAATTGCATTTGGAAGTAAACTGATAATTTGAGAATTTACCAATTATTATGTGGGGGAAAAATAATTTTCTATCCCTGCTTCAACTGTGGTAATCAATGAATTAATCCAAAAAGTGCTTTTAAATTGTCTTTGTAGACACAGAAATGTTTAAACATTAAATTTATGTCTGAAGAGGTCATCTTAATGTCTAGGGGAAAGGTTGCACCATAATATCTTTCAGTCCGTAGCAATGTATATTGATTATATGCCATCAAGTCAATGTTGAATCTTAGTGGCCACATAATTTTCTCCATGACAATCTGCCCTAAATTAAATTTTCAGATCTTCCAATGGTGGACTCATTGCTACTACAATCTTGCTGTTGGTTTCCTTTTCATCTTTCTTTCTTCCTTTTCCAGGATTAGGGTCTGCTATAGAAAGCCGGATCTTTTGCAAAATGTGCATGAAATAGGACAGTTTGAGTCTGGTCATTTGTGCTTTGTATGAGAACTCTAGGTCAGTGATGGCTAACCTTTTCAGCTTGGTGTGTCGAAAATCGGGAAAAAGTGTAGCCTTCCTTGGGTCGTGTGTCACTTCAAGAAATATCAATAATTTGGTAATATTTACAGCCCTAATAAAGAAAGAGTTATATTTTTAATATATTTATTATATTTATTAGTTCAAAAAGCTAAAAGTTTTGGAGATTTTTTTTGGAGGGTTTGCATGGTGCTCTGTGAGGATGGTGAGAAGCAAGAACTGCAAGAGGTGCTATGGAGGCAATTAAAGCTTAGAGGAGCTGGAGAGGGGCTGAATGCTGCAGACTAGACATCCAAGCATTTTACAGTGGGAGAGAAGAAGGGAGAGCCACAAAGACAGAAATGCAGATTTTAGTATTAATTGCACTTACAGGACAACCACCCGATGCTGCTTATCATGAGTACTGTGTCTGGTTGTTGTGGTGCAGTCCTCCTGCGATGTTAATGACAGACTGGGCTGGGGTGATCACACAGGGCTGTGAAACTCGTCTCCCTGGTCTCAGGGCTGCAGGTGCAGGATGTGGGGATCAGAAGGCCACCTTTTAGGGCTGTGAACCTCATGGATCTCCTTTCCTCCTGTAGCGTTCCTGAGGTAATGAAACTGACAAACCTCAGTTTATGGCGGTTAAAACTGGTTCTCTGTTGCAAAGATCTCGCGGCAGCGGTGACACCATGCCTCCATGCAACAAGCAGGGAGCAGGGATTGGAGCAGAGCACAGGCAGCCTCTAAATGTGCAGGTTTTCCCCACACCAACAGGCGTGTCAGTCAAAGTGCCTCGGCGTGTCACGAGTGACACGCATGTCATAGGTTAGCCATCACTGCTCTAGGTTGATTTGTTTATTGATCCATTTGCTTGTTTTCTTGGCTTTCTATGTTACGTGCAGGAACCTTCTCCAATGCCAAAGTTCAAAAACATCAATACTCTGCTTCTTCTTCAAAGTGCAACTTTCACTTCCTTATAATGTCACAGAAATTTCCATAACTTGCATTATTCCGATCATCGTAGCTAAATAACAACATGGCATTTGAATATCTTTTCCAAGACTTTCATGTTTTAATTTTTTACTTATTTCTTTATATGTATATATAACAAGACCAATTATATACAAACTACCATACTGGTATGTATAGGTGTGTGATAAACAGTGATACCAAAAATTGAGTAAGGGCAGAAAAGAAATTTTTAATTTGCTTTTAGCTTTACATTAAAAAATGAGCCCTGGGTCTTTTAAAGGTAATTTAAATTTCTATATATATTTGATTCTAACTTCAAAAGAAAGTAAAGATAAATTTTAATTCTTTTCCACTTCAGAAAATATTTCATTGTCAAGCAAATGTGTTTCATTATTCAAAAAATTAATTATTGTTTATTATTGTTTAAATCAGGGTTTTTCAGTCCTGGCAACGTTAAGACATATGGACTTCCAGTCTCAGAATTCTCCAGCCAGATGCTTAAGGAATTCTGGGAATTGAAGATTACTCACTTTTGAGTTGTAAATGTTGAGAAATAATGAATTAGACAATATACAGGCTATGGATGTGGGACTAAAAATAGCAGTAGCTCCACAGCTTTGTACAAGCAGTATGTATTATATGATAGAGAAGTTAAGGCTATTGCTTAATTCATCATCTCATATCATCTAATCCCAGCAAAGCATGATTTATGCTAACCTTACAGTCTCCATTATGCACACAACCATTCTTTAAAAATACATTTGAGAGAATCTCTTTTTTGTTTTAATTGTTTTTCTTTTATCTCTCAGGCTTCTAGTCAATAAATAGGTAATTTGTTTTAAAATTTTTGTGGGAAGTAGAATATATACATTTCAATTTTATTGGCATCCGAAAATTAGGAGTAATGTGTTCCCACTGAGTTGGAAATGGACAGCGCTGAAGTAACCTACTTGTGTATGAATAATGAATAATATGAGTGATTTACCAATATAATTGAGCTCAGAATTACAATCATAAATCATGGTGAATATTAAATGGGTCACCATGTCATTGCGTCCAATTTTGGAATCTTTTTTCAAAATTCCTGAATATTGCTTTAAAACATGTGCATTGTGTACTATTTTCTTTATCAACTCTAAAATCAGAGTATAGGAATATAATTCTAAAATTTTGTTCTGTGCTTACACTGTTCCTTGAATCTAAATTTGTGCCTGTCTGTCTATGCATGGATAATACTGTTTTGAAAGTATCTTTTGAAAGTATTTTTATTGTTTAAGAGAAATATTTATAACACAAAAGTTTCACCAACAGTTCCTACTAGAAGGCAGATCCTGTGATCTTTTAAACAGGAGAGCAAATTGTCATACTATTATCTTAGTATGAAGTAGTAATATAGTTTTATTTATTTCCCATTCAGCCCCTGTGCTTCCTGGGGCCTACCAACAAAACCAGCCCCAAGGATATGGTTACATGCACCAGACTAGTGTGTCATCTATGAGATCAATGCATTCACAGCCACATTCAGCTAGCTTGGTAAGTATTAAATTAAACAATATTTAAAGATACTTTTGCTATACTTGATACTTTAAAAAGTTGCCAGGATGCAAATTTCAAATTTAGTATGAAGAAATACTACAAATTAATGTGTTTTCTTATTACATGGGCATCCAAGAATGAAACAAAACAGTCAAGATGATTATTTGATCACATGTTTGTGCCTATCATCTTGATATTTTTTGGCTACAATTATGGATATCCCTGTATGATTACAGATCTTCTTTGAAATATGTTTTACACAAAGAGAATGTTTGCAGATTTATTCAGCCAGCAATTTTAGTCACATAAATGTTTTTAGATGGATGGTTTATATATAAATGGATATATGCTTACAGAAATTGTTGTATTAATTGGTCCAGTAACTGCCTTCTAATGGAATTTGTTTAATGGACTTTCTTCTATTTTCTGTTAACAGAGAACTTATAGAGCTATGTATGATTATAGTGCCCAAGATGAAGATGAAGTTTCCTTCAGAGATGGTGACTACATCATCAATGTACAACCGATTGATGATGGTTGGATGTATGGTACAGTTCAGAGAACTGGGAAAACTGGAATGCTTCCAGCAAATTACATTGAGTTTGTTAATTAGTTCGGCATTAACTTTTATGAGCATTTTGATTTAACTATAATCTTTTTAAACAAAGTATTTTTAAAACCACAACTTTATGATTTTCCTGTTAGTGTAACAATCCATGATCATATGCTAAAGTCAACATATAGTCCAATAGGAATCTAGGAATACTGAGCTCTGAAAGCATGATACTTAAATGATTTATAAAAAAATACGTTGATGGTGGAAACTGGATTAATTTTGGTTAGCTCCCAAATAGAATCCTGCCTTTCTAGTAGGTTGTGTTTCTCATATGAATTATAAGTATAAAGCAACTGATATTTTTTTATTGTGTGACTTTGAAATTGTAAGAGGCATAGCTTACTGTTGAGGTTTGACTTATTAAAAGTCCAAGTGCATCGAATCAATGTTTTTGTTGTAATGAATGACATGATCAAAAGTTGCTTACTATTGCTTTGCATACCATGTCCTTAATGATGAAAAAGATTCCTATTACCTATAGTTGTCTGATCTATTACCTTTACTCTAAAATTCTCATTTGTTCTCTTTCTGCTTATATTTGACTTCCCAAAATACTAGTTGACATGACTGCTAAATCATTAACTGTATGAGTCTTTTAGGGAAGTTAGTGACAAATTCACAATGCTCTTGTTAAATTCTATGTTTTCTGTTATGTTAGTACCAATTATTTTTTATTTGCCACTGTATTAATAGTTTTTTATATAGAAACCATTATCATTTAAAGCATCTTTCAAATTATCCAAATATCTAACATTTCCTTTTATCACAATGGGAATTTTTAGTGGAAGCAGCTACAGGTAGTCCTCAACCTATGACTGTATTCATTTAATGATAGTTCATAGTTAATGATGGCCTCAGAAAAAGTGACTTACAATTCCTCCATGAAATTATTGTATGCTCAGTCACATGATGGCAATTTAGGTGCTTGGCAACTGGAAATGGCTCCCATTTATGACTGTTGCAGTATCTTGCAGTCATGTGCTTGCAATTTGTGACTTTCCAGCTGGCTTCTAACAAGCAAAGTCAGTTGGGGAAGCTGGATTGGGCCAAGCCACATGATGACTCACTTAATGTCCATATTGTTAGCCACAAAAAATCTGGTCCCAATTGTGGTCCTAAGTTGAGGACAACCTGTATACTATATTTGCAACAATGTAATGGATTGCTGTTGGATTTTAGTTACAACATGAATGTAAGCTTAGATTTGAATTTAGTCAGCAGTATTCTTCCATCAAGTTAATTTTTAAAAAGGTAGATTTTTTCAGGAGACTTCCATTCTTCCTTGTCAATATAACTTACCAATATCTTCAATAATTGAATAATTGAATTATGACATCAGAAAGATGTCTTTGCAGAAAGATTTTTAAGTTACTTTCAGAAAACACTTAAGGATTTAGAGGTTGTATGATATTAAATACACTGGTTAATATAAACATAACAGCAAAATGCTTTGTAGATATATCTAAAAGTTATTTGGACTTCATGAGATCCATTGGAGCTAGCTAGTAAAAAAAATGGTAGACGGTTCCAAATGTAAATGTATGGGAATGGTCTAGAACAAGGAAAGAATAATGAAGCCTTATAAGGTCATAAACAGTCAAGGCATGTATTGTATAAGGCAGCATTTTAAGTTCTCTAAATGGCCTGCAGATTTCTTTCTTGTTCAGTTTTCATAGGCTATTCTAACTTGGTTAAACCTAAGCTAACTAAGTTTTTCTTGGTTTAACTTTGACTATTGGAGTTGATGTGATCATCTAAAAATGAAATATTAGAGGTTCATGCATAACCGAAGAGCTATAGCTAAGGCTGTATCAAAGAACACACACCTATCTTTCATTTTCCCTTTAATTAATCTCAAAGGAATGAAAATATGATGTATCCATTTCTGCTTGGTATAGGTGAGCTTTTCATCAAATGAATGAAGTTTTATTTGCTTGGAGGCTTCTCTAAGCAAAACCTGGGACCATAGGACATATAATGTGAAAAACCCCTACTGAATAATAATGAATTAAACATTTTAAAACTCAAATCATATTTCTTCCACAAATTCAGTCAGATGTGAGCCATTCCTATCTATCCTTTGCATAGCGACCTATGTTTTAAAGTTAAAGCAAAGTATAAGTGAGGCTCTTTATATAGAATACTACAAGATAGATAAGTGACTGGCAGCATTCAGTATCCTATTTGTAGCTTCCAAAAAAAATAATAATGGATGAAATGAACTTTAAAAAGCAAAATGAATACAAGTAGTCCTTGAATTATGAATATAATGGAGCCTACCAATTACATTTGTAACCTGAGGATTCATAGGCATGAATCGCATAACTTGACTGTGATCACTCCCTACTTTCACCCAAATATTCGCTAATTGAATGTGTAGGTTGTTAAGTGCATATGAGATATCTCAGGATGGGGAAGGCCATGGGGGCCTAACAGTGGAACAGGCCACCTGCTTCAGACCACCCAAGGCTTCCCTCAACTCACCGAGATAACTCATGTTCTCTCCCATGGGGTCCCCACAATTGCTCCCTGTTCATCCTGCCACGCAAGGTCACTTACCTTATGACGATCTTCCTCTGCAATCTCTCTACCATAATTTCTTTGCCTGCTTAGAGTATTAGTGCAAAAAGCATTTGCAAACCGATGAGACTTTGAGGCAGCGAAATAGCATTGCTTGAAGCCTGCCATCAGTTTGTAAACTCTTCTTGTGCCATTCCAGTTTCCATGTGAAAAGCACTTGCAAACTGATGGGAGGCTTGAAATAATGTGATTTTGCTGCCCCAAAGTCTAGTTGGCTTGTAAGTGCTCTTTGCACTGAGACTGGGATGGCATGAAAAGCATTTGCAAGCCAATGAGAATTTGGGGCAGTGTAATCGCATTGCTTCAAGCCTCCCATCAGCTTGCAAACTCTCTTCACACTGGCATGAAAAATATTTGAAAGCTGATGGGAGGCTTCAAGCAATGCAATTTCACTGTCCCAAAATTTCACTGTCCCAAACAGAGGCTTCAAATATTATAATGCAAGATCTTGTGGATACTGATCTTGCGTGATCTCACACTACAATGCTTTAGGTCTCTGTTCTCTATGAACTGAGGCCTGCATGAGATCTGGGGCAAAAGGCTTTGCAAATAAAGATATTTTCCCACTGTTTGTAAAGCTTTTTGCAGTGGATTTTGTACAGGCCTTGGTTGTCAGAGATCAGAGGCTTAAAGTATCATAGTGCGAGATCACATAAGATCAGTAACATGAGATCATGTGCTCCTGACCTTGCACTGTAGTACTTTAGGCCTCAGTTCTCTGCAAACCAAGTCCTCCATGAGATCTGCAGCAAAAGGCTTTTTTTGAGAGTGAGATCGGTAGCGTGAGATTTCACACTACTAATCTCATGTGATCACTTTAGGCCTCTGTTTTCTGTAAATGCACTGAGGCAAGCAAAGGAACTGATGGCTCACTAGATCATTGCAAAGTAAGTGAATCTATAGATGCAATGTCTGTGGAGTTCTGGCGGGGAGGTGATTAGCAGGACAAATGTTGCAGTGCCTATGTCTTTGTTCATAAGTTTGAATGACGGACGTGATCAACTGTTGTAACTCAGGGATTACCTGTATTTAAACCCTTCAGAAACATAAGCCATTGATAACACTACTTAAAAAGAACGTGAGGCTTCTGAATTTGGCCCAATTCTTACAAGTGGGAGGGTTAGGAGCCAAATTTTGAGAAACTCCAAAAGATAGTGAGGGAGGCTTTTTTTTTTTAATGTCCTGTTCTGAGGAAGTTTCAAAAAATTAATGACATGCCTCCCACAGATTTGGAGCGGGACAGAAAAAGAAAATGTTTTTCTAATGCATGCTATACAGAATTACTGTATTGGATTGAATCATAGATGTCTTTCTTCCTCTTTGAGGAGCAGTCTTTGTAAAAGATGGAAAGCTTGGGATCCATCCTATTATTATTCCAAATGTTATAGTTGAGTGGAGAAAAGAAAACAAAATAAATATAGACGAAAACTTGGGGAAAATATTATTTTTATTTATTGAAATATGATCTCCAAATTGTTGCATCTCTTTGCCAAGGGAGTCCCAGAGCAAATTTTTAGGTACCTTCTTGCAAAAGGAATCGCTATGAATTCTGTTACTTGTATTGTATTTTTATAATATTCAAGGTATTATGTAAAAGGGAGATTTGGAAAGATCTTATTTTTCTATTTCCTTGGCTTAGCTATCAGATGGCATGGATATTGGATTAAATAACTATATGCAACTCATATTTTTTCTGGTGTGAATGAAATGTAAAATTATTATTATTATTAATTTAGGTGAGGTTAGAGAAGAGAAAATTCCACGGAAAGCTCTTTTATTATTTTATACCTATTTGTATCTAAGGGATAAAATATATTTTGCTAAAGATATAAATCATAGAAATGAAAGGTATGTTGATCTTTGACAGAGTGATGGCTCCCTTGTGTTTATTTTACTTTTGCATTGTCTGAAGAAGCAGATTTAAATTGTTCTTAACAATGTGTCATAATGTTGTTGCCAAAAATTAAAAGATCACTATTCTTTCAAGCTTTAAAGATATAAAATCATTATTTAAAAGAGGTTATTTTTTTAATCAGAAGGGGGGGGGGGGAGAGAGAGAGACAGACAGACAGACAGACAGACAGAAAGAAAGAAAAAGAAAAAGAGATAAAACAAATATCCAGAAAATGAGTAAATATTTAGGAACCTTTTCTGTGATATTGATATCAAACCTTTCTCAAAGTGTGTGAATATAGTTCAAGAATAATTGATAATACAGTTATTCTTCTTGAAGGCAACAAAATGAACCAGACTCTTACTGCTTTTAAAAGTGATACAAGTTGATCAGGAGTACATGGCAGTTTGCTATGCATTGTGGCCAGGGGTGGGATACTACAGGGTTAACTACCGGTTTGGGATTTATGAGGTTTGGTGATTTATGATGTGCTTCCCTGCAAGCTGCAACCCTGTACATCGTCATTAGCACACTGCGTGCAGAGAAGCAGTTTTTGAAACAGCCCTCTTCCTGCTTTTTTAACTGCAGCTGTGCCTCGTTCGGCAGCTGAAGTTGAAAAATCAGGAAATAAAAATCAGGTAAGAGCCCGGGTGGGCAGGTAGGCAAAAACATCAGCAGACATAGAACCAGTTCTATGTCTGCTGCTCTTCAGAGCTACCGGTTCTACAGAGGTGGACAGAACAGGTAGAAACCCACCCCTGATTGTGGCCCAAGTCATGGAAAGGAAATTTTATTTTAATAAGATAATATAATTTTTGACTTACTTATTTATAGCTTTGTGATAGAAAAGAGTCTTCTTAGGTATACTACTATTTCTCTGTGTGGAATTGTTTGTTTTGAGGATGAATCTCAACCTCAAATCTATCTTAGATAGCATCAAAATGTAGAATGAAAGAGGACTTTAATCAGTAGGGTCAGTAAAAACTATTGGTGCATTTTCA